TTTATTGTTCCCTCAAATCACTACCAATCCACTTCGCTCCATGGTATCCCTTGGTTGTCCTCCAATCGGTTCCTGCTACCCTTTGTTGTAGCAGATAACCGGCAAAGCGATTTATCGCAGTTATCTGGGAAGGTGCGTAGAGTCACGGCTCTGCTACGGCTCAGGTGCTTGCACCACCTCCTTCCTGTCCTGATGGTTCTGTTTGTTTTGCCCTGGGGTTGCCTTGAGTGTTGCTGGGTTTTGGTGGCTGTTTGGTGGGGCATCTGCTTCTCTGTGGTAGTTGTTGCAATGTTGTTTTTAATTTATTTTTAGTTTTGTTTATCTGTTTGATATCATTATCTGGGGTAGTCTGTTGCTTGCTCCTGTTTCTTTTGATATTGCAGATTAGATCTGTGTTTACTTGTATTGTTGTATCTGTTCCACCTATTTGGGTGAGTTTTCGTAATGAAATTTCATCCTTCGACCAAAAAAAAAAAAAAGATTTGCTCACTTTTGACAAAATCCTATGAGAAGGAGATAAGACGGCAGCTAGTTGTGCTGTATATTCACTTTCCAAAACTGCCCCCCATGGGTATGATCAGGGAGGGATTGGCACCAAGTCAAGCAACTGAATCTGAATTCTAAAAGCCGTATTAATTAATTTGGACTTATTTTGTGTTGGACCTACCACATATATATGCATGACATGAAGGCATCGTCACACTTTTACTTTTTGACATAGAATACGCATGACACCTTTTAAATTAATACTTGGTTTTTTTTTATTCTCAAATGTGTATTTATTTTTCATTTTAAATATTCTTAATAAAAGAGACAAGTGTTAGATTGTGGTTGAGCTACATTAGTAGACAATGAGGAATTCCTTCTTATGGGTAAGGAGGGAAGCATTATTCTTGCAAATAATTTAATACTAATGAACAATTTGTTGTTGAATTCAATTTTGGTTTTTAGTTAGAATTTAAAAAGTATGTGAGTTTTTGTCTAGACTATTTTTTTTGGTAACATTTCTCTCTTTTTTGGTAACATTTGTCTAGACTATTTTAATTGCAAGGGGCCATATCTGAATATCTTGTATGTAAATTATCTGAATACTTTTAGTACTTGTAACAAATAAAGAAATGCATACAGAAGAAACTTCAGTTTGATATATCATTACGTACCTTTGCCGTTAACGGTATACCAGCACACTTTCTGGCAATCTCCTTTCCAATTGTTTCTAGATCTTTTGCAATAGGAGCATTACCATCTGGAAATGCTCTTTTCTTCAATATGTCCCAACAATCATCAACAAATAGACTTCCCAAAACATATATTGGAAGTACTTTTTTCGTGATTGATGCAACAATGGCACTGCGCGTTGTGACAATAACGACGCTTCCCTGGGCACTATGAAGTTTTGACAAACAAGTCATCAAATTGCTCCATTTTTCACGATCTTCGTTCCACACATCATCGAGCACAAGAAAATATCTCTCTTTTTCCAGTTGTTCTATGAGCTTTTTAAGCAATGCATCTTGGCTTTGTATCCCACCCAATGTTGAGTTAAGAGATTCTAATATCAACCTTAAAATTGACTTGGCCTCGAAAGTGTCAGATACACACACCCATATTTTTTTTTATCAAAATGCCTACAAATAGAATCGTCATTGAATACTGACTTAGCCAAAGTCGTCTTCCCTAGGCCTCCCATTCCTACAATGGGCATTACTGAAAGATTTTCTTGATCCAAGTTGGAGTTGTAAGCTGACTTATGTGAGTTAGCCTAATTACGTGTTATGATTATCATATTAGAATGAGATAATGGGATTTATGTTTATCAGTTATTGTTAGACTTTCAGTTTTGACAGACTTTGGTTAGTTTATATTGATTAGGACTCAATCACTTAAGTATATTAGTTTTGTTTAAACTCTTACTCTATCTATAATAGGAGAGATAGTGTTAAGGTTTCTTTAATATAAAAGAATCGGTCCCTCCTCTCACAATACACAAGTTCTGTGGCGTGCTTGACCTATTGATAGCAAGAACATTCTGGTGTTGCAGAGAGAAGAAGATCATTCCCATAGTTGTCATGTCTTCTTCACTGAGTATGAATCAATCGATAAGTTTTCTTTATTCATGTTGTAATTCATGTGTTTATTGTATTTAACTTTAGTTTTGCTTACAGCATATACATAAATAAGCCTTCATAATTTTTCTGGTTTATATTTGTTGTACCCACAGTTTCGTTAAATTTTCTTAAAATTTCTTAACTTCAGTCAATGACAATTTTGAAAACAAGTGATAATCTAAACTACAGGTCGAGAGGAGGTGTTTTGGTATATATACGATATTTAAATTTTATTTTCCAACACAAAGTCATCCATATATATAAACTTGATGTGCATATCGAATTTGATTAGGTAAATTAATTAACAAGAGACTTTGGATGAACGCCCCCATTACTTCTTATTTTGAGTTTTCATCAAAAATAGCCAAAATTTAACCCCCGAATTCATAAATGTCAATTTTTAAAAAAACTTTCAAATATAGCCAAAAACTCACTTAAATTGACCCAAATGCCCTCTAAATTAAAACCTAACCAAAAAGCATGCTCTTCCAAGCCGTAAGCTATTGAGCACGAGTCTCACTCTCCACCCAGCCTACCCCTAAACACAAGGACACTACCCCTCGCCAATCGCCCTTTTGGAAAGCAAAGTTAATATAGGCAAGTTTGTGTTGTGGGAAGATAGTCTGTGAACAGTGAGGGCCTTGCAATTTTTCCAAGCCTCTTGTGCTGAGGGAGGGCACTGGGCAGCAGCACATATGATGGTTTGCAAGAAAGTTTAACCCCCGATATCATATGCAGACCAACAGTATTTATGATACGAATTTTGCAAGAAAGTTCAACTTTTTTTTCTCAATTAAAAATTATTATGTCAAGAAACTGACTTTAACTTTTTTTATTGTAAAAAAACTCTCAAACCCACTGATTCAAGCCATAGCCGCAGAGATGATTTTTATTGCCTGGATTTATGAAAACATCGGCTTTTCCTTTTCTTCTTCTTTTTGATAATTACATTGTCATTTTTATGATAGGATTCATAGGCATGATTAAGTTGACGAAGCCAATTTTGTTTTTGTGCTCCCGTGCTATTTTGGGTTTTAGCTTTTAGGTGTAATTGAGTTATAATTTAGAGGGCATTTAGGTCAATTTAAATGAGTTTTTGGTTATATTTGAAAGTTTTTTAAAAAACTGACATTTATGAATTTGGGGGTTAAATTTTGGCTATTTTTGATAAAAACTCATTTCTAGGTAGGTAGTATATAACTTAAGAATAAGCTCTCCAAACCAACTTTGAAATATAAATATAAATAAAAACAAGAAATTTATCTACAAATGAAAAAAAGAAAAAGAAAAAGAAATTATGTTCCACTGAATATCACTCCACCCTGTTAGCCAATGGAGCCATTAAGCAGGAATTTGAGCCTATCATATCACCCCTCTGTGGCCCACCCATACACAAGGTCCATGGCCATGGACAATTGTCCAGTCAAAGATCCCATCTCCTTCACTCTCCAGATTCCAATCATGTCCTTGTCTAGTGAGCTCCGCTAACCATGGGTAAACTGACTTGCCCAGAACAAGGACAAGTTTTATTGGGTAAGTGGGTCCCGCCTTTACTGGAGCCCACTGTAAGTTTAGGTCATATGATCAGTCACAGAGGCTTGGATGAACACATTCCTCAAATTAAGGCTTCTTGATCGGTCGGATTTGATTTGGTTTTTTCTCCTCTGGATGTTGATTCTAAGAATGAAGAAAGTTAAAATGAGTCGTAAATGAGCGTGCGGTTACTGTTGGGCGTATAGATGGTGAAATTCAAATTCATTAAACAGTCATTATCCACATGTGTAATAATAGATGTAATCTTTACTAACACTCGCAAGTGTCCTCCTCAAACAACTTTGTCCATCTATTTAAAAGTAGCTTTCAATTACTCACCTACTACATTTTCACCTTTTGTCAAAAGTCAGGAGGTGAAGAAACTAGGCAATTTTTGACTAATGCAAAGGCAATTTTTCAAAATTTTAATTTTTTCAATATTAGACATGATCATGTGTGGTGTTTAAGCGCATGAAATTATAGTGACAAATGAAAATAAATAATCTGACCATTGAGTTAAGTAGGTAATTTATTATTAGGAGTTAAGTAATATTCTTTTGACGTTAGATTGAGTGCCGATTAGGAGAAGAAGAAGAAGGTGAGTTTTCTTTTTTAATTTGTCTCTCGGACAAATGTTATACCATCTAAAATTGGAAATAACATTATGATCTATGATGTTCCATTAAAGTAAAACATAACTCCTAAAACAAAATGATTGAGATTGAGAATCTTACTATATGTTTCTTGCAAGCGAGGTAAAATTGGATGAAAACAAAAGAAACAGAGAGAGAGAAAAAAAATTAGAAAGAGAGTGAATCATTCCTCGTGACAGAAAGGGAGCGAAACACATGGGAGGGAGGGACACACAAACACACAATGTCCACAGAAACCAGACCAATGCAAGATCCACAACATCAATCCAACCCTAACCCTAAATTCATCTCCATCAACAACGCCAGCTCCAACAATCCCAACGCCAAATCCAATCCAATCCCTCTCCCCAGAAGCATTGGCATTTCCAACATTGCCAATGCTTCTGGAGTAGCTGCCACGTCATCGTCTTCTTCCTTGCTCACATCGTTGAGTTTGACAATGCTGGGCAATTCCAACGCCCCTCGACCTTTCATCCGAGAAGAAGCTGGCGCAGCAGCAGCAGCGGAAGGTGGACCCCACCATCACAATAGCCACAGGAGGGCCCACTCCGAGGTGAGCTTCCGGTTGCCGGAGGACATGATGGATCTGTCCGCGCCGGATCCGTTCAACGGCGGATCGTCTACGGCGAGTATCGAGGAGATGGGATCGGAGGAGGACCTCTTCTCCACATACATTGACCTCGACAAGCTCGGTGGGTGCAATTGCTCGGATCAGAGCGGTGGTGGTAATAATGGGCCCAATGGTGGGCCTGATGATGGGTCTGGTGGGCCCAATGTAAATTATGGTGGTGGTGAGGGAGAAGAGAAGAGGTCGTCGAGGCACAGGCATAGCTGCTCGGTGGATGGGTCGTCCACGTCAACCGGTGTGTTTGGGGAGGTCATGGAGGCCAAGAAGGCCATGCCTCCTGATAAGCTCGCTGAGCTCTGGAACCTTGATCCCAAACGCGCCAAAAGGTGTGCAAAATTTTGTCTTTTTTCCTGGGTTGCTTCATTTTCCTGTGTCTGGTTGCCGAGAAAATGCGGGACGTGAAAATGAATCTTATTTGGATTTTGGGTCTAAGGAAATCACAAACGTATAATGCTGAATTTGGCATGAAATTGAATTTGAGAAATTGCAAAACGTCTACTTTACGTGAACCCTGATCGAGTCCGTTACAATTAGAAAGCAATTTATGCTGTTATTAATAAACACTAAAACACTAGGAGTGATTGATGCTACCACAACACAAACCCGCTATTTTTTTGATAAAAGGCGTTGCCTTTGCTAGTATTCACTTGTAGAGGTTGGTTGTTTCTGGGTTTTCAACTAATTGCTTTGGGTAGAGATGAATTGAGATCGAGTGTTTAGTAGAATCCAACTGCATGAAGGTTGTATTTGGACTTTTGGAGAATAATAATAGCATCAATTTGGAAATATATGGATCTGTTGAACTGAAATTCCACCATTTTCCTACCTTGAGATTCGTTCTTATGCATCATGGTTTTCCTCTTCAATCATGTTATATGCTTTTGCATGTATGATGGCAATGCCTATGAAGTTCTTTTAGTTCTTTCCTCTTTAGTGATTTTCGGGAGCTCTGTCTCACATTTTAATTGTCATATGTAGGATACTGGCGAATAGGCAGTCTGCTGCTCGCTCGAAAGAAAGGAAGGCTCGCTATATACAAGAACTTGAACGCAAAGTTCAGACCCTTCAAACAGAAGCCACCACTCTCTCTGCCCAACTCACATTATTCCAGGTTTGTGTTGGTGTATTTTAGCAGCTTTCTTTAACTGTACTTAACATGTGCACAACCTGTTTTGACATCACTGCACTAAATTAGAACATGATAGATCTCACTTGGGCCATTTATGGTCATCCAACGTTACCAGTATCCTATATGTAACAACATTGTCAATCGCCTGGAGGAAGTATTCTAATGTCACTTCATTAAGTCACCCTCTGCTGCAGTGTTTTGTTATTATTTAGCCTTCGTCGGGTTGTTAAGAGTGTTTTTCTGCACATGTGTGAAGTGCACGCATATATACACACAAATGTCTGTTAATTTGTTGAAAGATTATGACTTTTTTATTTATTTGTTGTCTTGTATAGAGGGATACAACAGGTCTGAGTACTGAAAACACAGAGCTTAAGCTTCGGTTACAAGCTATGGAGCAACAAGCTCAGTTGCGTGATGGTAAGCAACAAAATGCCAACTTGTATCATACTTGATACTTTCATAATATATTGTATCTTAATTACATCTAAAGAGAATGGTCCATGTTCCATTTTATCCAACAGATACTGATTTTTTTTGAAATTTGTCATGCAGCACT